AAAAAAAAAAAAAAAAAAAAAAAAAAAAAAACTACACGTACACACGTGGATCAATACTGGAAGGAAAACAACTAAAAAATGAGGATTGAGACATGGCAAGAAAAGAGAGCGCGACAGTGTGCGAGTAAGCAAAAAAAAAACGTGCAATTGTTATCACAACCAATTTATTTATGTGTCTATACTTCATGTTTTATTTTTTTGAGTTCAATAAGTTCATAACGAGATGACTATTAGAGTTACAGTGATCCCTTAATTGTGCCAACTGTTTTTTCTGCTGATTCATTCATTTTTCTACACACCGCACTTCACTTTTAGAGTCAAAGAAGCTCGTAGCGAAATAAAAAGGAGAGCTAAAATAATCCCTTAAACTACTACTACCTTTCATATTATAACACTAAGTCATAAAAGTAATCTACTCCAAAAAATCATTATTGGACCACTACTGATAATTTTCGTTGATGACACGCGACCTTCAAATTTGAAATAGTATGTTGGCGACCTTATATTCGAGAAAGGTAGTGGTTAAAAGAAAGTAAATGCTAAATCGCACTTCAACACACCGCAAGGTCAAGACACACACGACATGACGGACATAGACGAAAATAAAACAAAACTCCGAGCGCAAGTGGTGCTATGATAAATTCGTCAAAATAGCGCACTCATCTGGCGAAAGGACCCGATCGGTTTCTACCAGTCGCCAGTCTGGCGTCATCAGGGCTCTAACCTGGATGGAATGAGAGACACAACTAGACATCTTGAATATATATTAGTATATCGCTAAACTACTCTTGGTACCTGCGAAACGATACAATACCCGGACCCGCCCTTTTTGGCAGTCTCGTCCCGTCTCAAAACCCACAAACCTACCTGGCCCTTCATGGGAAATACTACCTGCCGGCAGAACCCGTACCTGCCTCCGCAGTATCTGTAATATACTCAATAGCCCGGCGTCTCACCTCGTACCTTTTTAACCACCCAGTAAGGCAGCGTACCCATTGTTACCACCTATTATTAAATCTTACAGACAATGTACTCAACACCCGATCAAAAAATTCATCAGGAAAACCTCTTATTCCTAACTCAATCTTCAGCGTAAAACAGGAAACACAAATCAGCGTCAAGCATGCAGTTCAAATCCTTCAACCTATGCATAGAAGCACCCAAAACCGCCATCTTTTTTTGCCTATGTGAATACGAGAAATAATCCTGCAAATTGTGAAAGACAATACCTTGTCCAAAAATGGTTCTCTCATTCTTGTGCGTTGCAGCACACAAGATCCTCGCTGGGTTCTGAAATACCTTCAAGATACAACCCAAATAATCCCATTCACAACCTTCGCTAGTCCTTTCTAACACCAATTGTCTGTCGTACGAAGCACTGAATCTTTGAATCCTTTCTTCGGCGAATCGTCTGGACATTTCCTCGCTCGGATTGTAACTCGTAAAAACCGAAACATCGTCAACTAGCCTAAACCCATGAAAATTTTTCTGGAAGAACCTAAACTAATAAGAAATTCATATTCATTAAAAGCAGATAGAAGACATGCGAGGGCGGGGCTGGAGGGTTTACTCATAGGGATACCAATCTTCTGTCTCAGGATAACACCCATTGCTGAAATATAGGTACATGACAAGTCAAAACCAACGAAACTTAGCAGCTTATTAAACTTCAGTCATCCTTATCCTTCGGGAACGGTTTTCCTTCTGGAGAGGACAATACCTTTCCTATTTCTTTTGTACATGACCTCAGAGAAACCCTTCTCTTCATACAACGCTACTGCCTATTCTACTGCTCTGACGATAGACGAATGCGGGAGAGCGGAGAACATCTCTTTAACATCGAAACTGGCCGCCATTACCTCTCCTTCTTTGCTGATGGCCTCATTAATCTCCTCGATCCTAGTTTTGAGATCTATGGTCGCTCTAAGATTGAAGTGAGAGGAGGATGGAAGGGACCAGAGAAGACAGTTGACCGCCTTAGAAACAACTCGACAAACTCTAGTAGTAGGATCAGAATGAGAGGGACATATAGGGCGCTAACGATAAATGTCTTTATGTTTTGGGATACAGTAGACCTTACATAAAGTACCTTTACCATTAAATCTCGTTATAGTCTTAAAATTCTCCTTCTCGTACAACTGAGTCATTCTTCTAATAATCGAATTCTCCGTCTCTTTTTTCTCCTCGAAACCGCTAATGTTCAGAAAGAGCTTATGCATTCCTAACTCGTAGAACGATGGACAACAAATCAATGTATCGCCGATATTATGATCTATATGGCAAACCACATATTTGTCGAACTTCTTCTTCCATTGCAAAACTTGCCTGTGGTCAAACCATGTTCTCTCTTCTCCCGTTCTAACATTAATATAGTTCTTGAGTTCAACTTTGGAAATAGAAAAGAGCTTAGTATCAGATTGAACTTCCTCTAAGCAACTCAGGATAGCCTTCTTGACTTTTTGTAAATCAGACTTAAGACCTGGTGATGGAATATTTTTGGAATTACGTAGAAAAAAAGGAATGCCCTAAAATTCACTTAGCCGAAAAGCAACATGCTCTCCCACCCTTGGGAAATCTGAATCTACACATAAACATGAAGGTTGAGATAACCTAGAGAATGGTCTAAAATTAAACAAAAAGTCCCCGACTGGCTTGTTCTTAGTCCAAACCACCTTGACCTTCCGACATATAATGTCCTGAATAGGTTTCCTGACGGACGACGTTCTCACAGTCTCCACGAACAACCTTCTGACCTTACCCTTTGAAATCTCACAGTCATAGGCAATCCTAATAACAGGTCTAATCCTAATTTTAATATTGAATTTATTCTTGATTACCCTCCCAACGATACAACGAAGCGAAGATCTCGTTTGCTTTCTCAAAAAGCTCCTAATACACGAATACAGCCTCACCAACCGATCAAGTGGTAAACAGTACAAGTCCTTCCTTGTCCTTGGCTTAGACAACAACCTGGCTAGCAAGGCTTTTAACTCCACAAACCTTGAGCAAAAACGAGACAGTTTCTCCACACGAACCACATTTGACTCCGCAAACCATTTGCAACAATTCTTCAGCAGTTCAAGACCTACAGTCGACCTAATGACTGAAGATCCATACAATCTCTTAACCACTGTCCATTCATCACAAAATTCACGACCCCCTTTACACAAAATACTGAAGCTCGACTCCTTAGATTTAAATGCATGATCCAGAATTGAAATGAGACTAACAGAGGAAAGACCTAATGAAGAGCTGAAAAAAATTGGAGATTTCTTGGAAATAGAATATGAACCGGTAGTGGAGCAACCATTACGATTTTTCAACTTCGAACGTTCTCTTCTTCCTGGTCGGCAAGCCTGATGGTTCCTATGACGCAAAACTTTCGAATTGAGAAAAGGCGAGAACCTTCGAATGAAAAAAAATTCCAAGGCAAGAAGATCAGGGGTGGTGGAAACAGCAAGCGGGATAGCAACATAATCGGAAGTGTCGCGAGTTCTTAGCCACCTATACAACTTATGATTCCTAACTTTCGCTGAACACCCTTTTTTGGCTCTCTGAAGATGCCCCTTCCACCTAATATTTAAACTTCTGGACGTGCACCCAATGTAAACGTGCCTGCACTATGGAGAAACTGATGCATAAATAACCGGACCAGGACAGCGAGTGATATCGTACCCACCAGAAAGGAAAGAGGAAATGAACGGAGCGAACTTAACTATCCAAGGAATCTGACAGCAGATGATCAATAGCAAGTCTAAAGAAGATTCCATGCTTACCTTCTTGCCAAAACGAACCCTCATTCCTCAGATCTCTACAAGTCAAAGCCAATTCCTCACAATTCTGATCGTTACGAAAATTACTAGCACTCGAAGAGCGTTCCTAGCAATTGGAGATTCCCTCAGCATGATTACTAGGTTCACCCTCCGCAATATCGACAGAATGATCATCGTCATCCCCGACCTCTTTCTCTTCTTCAATGACTACTCTTCGTCTCAATTGCGGAAATGTCGTTGCACCATATCTTTCCGGCAAATCGGCCATAGATCCTCGTATACTAGTGGTATACGGAAGACCCTCTTCGAGACACAGCTTCTCAATCTTATTTTTCCGTAGCTTGCTCGATTCAAGAAAAAACCTCTTAGTGAAAGTCGGTCTGGTCTCATCTGTACGCTTTTCGAATCGCACAGTCGGCGGACTGCTTTCCGCCTCCGTATCTTCTTCCGGTTCGTCAACTAATTGCGCCATCTTCTTCCGGAGATTAGTGTGTTGCACACCCCTTAGCGCAAACCTTCTCCTAACGACCGGTGGTGACGTCCGAGTCTTCAGTCTATTGATACGTTCTTTCATGGCTGCAACTTCCCTTTCTGCATAATCTTTGTCATTTCGTAGCTTCCTGTAGACATCCGCCATCTTGGCGATGTCTTCTGGAGTAAGATCACGATCAACAACCCTCAGTTTGACTCGTGCCGGTTCTACCGGTGGACTTTTCTCCGTAACGACTTTCGCATTTCTCTTCTCTCCTCCTCTTCTCAAAGCGTTGACCTCGTCTCTTAGCTTGACAATACCTTTCGAGAGCGTGATATTATCTTGCTTTAACAAATCGATTTCCTTATCTGCTAAGCTGATCCGCATAGCAATCTTCATCTCCTCATTTTCTCTTCTCAGTCGTTCAATTTCTGACTCTTGACTGCCCTCCTGAACTGGCTTCTTCCCAACAGCTATCGCTTGCCTCCGAAGCTCAGTACTAATCTCGGCGCATACGTTCTCCGTAGGGGCAATTTTTTTGCCCAGAATCGATTCGCAAACTTCAGTCATGGATCCTTTAATCAATTTTTCCAAGTTCACTTGAAACTCCATCTTCTCCTGTTGCTCATTCTGTCTCTTCTCATCTTGCTCCTGTTGTCTCTTTCTCTCCTCCTCTTCCTTTTACTTTATTTCTTTCTCCTTCACCAAGCGTTCCTTCTCCTCCATCTCCTTACTCACGAAGCCCCACATCCTTTCGAAACGATTATCTCTCCCTCGGTAACCTCCCTCCTCACGATAGCCTCCTTGTTCTCTATACCCTCCCTGCCACGGTCTCCTCTGCGGTTGCTGGTACGTATTCTGCTGCCCACCTTGCTGCACTTGCTGGCCGTTGTTCAAGTTGGAGCCGCTGCATTTGGAGCCGTTGCATTCATTGTCGTCAAAATCGGAGCGTCATTCGTAGAAACCTATGAGGCACCATTACCTCCGTAATTGCCGTTGCGGCCTCCTTGGCCATTCGCCTCATTGTTGATGCGAAGCTGACAATCTCGAATCCAGTGTCTGTGCTGGTGACAATAGTGACACAGACCTCTCGGTGGATAGGAATACATGATAGACGTAAGAGGTTAACAACAAAGAGAAAAAATGATAGTGTAGGAAAATTAACGAATAACAAATAACGAATAATGAATAAGTAATAATAAGTGGTCGAGGACAACCACACGATCGTAGTACTATTGCTACGCTGGTTATTATGTGCATGCAAGTAGTTAGAAGAAAGTAAGTGCTAAATCGCACTTCAACACACCGCAAGGTCAAGACACAAGTCAAGACACACACAACATGATAGACATAGACGAAAAGAAAACAAAACTCCGAGCGCAGGTGGCGCTTTGAGAAATTCGTCGAAATAACGCACTCATCTGGCGAAAGGACCCGACCAGTTTCTACCAGTCGCCAGTCTGGCGTCATCAGGGGTCTAACCTGGCTGGAATGAGAGACACAACTAGACATCTTGAATATACAGTAGTATACCGCCGAACTACCCTTGGTACCTGCGAAACGATACAATACCCGGACCCGCCCTTTTTGGCAGTCCCAGTCGAAAAAACTCTCGTCTCCAAACCCACAGACCTACCTGGCCCTTCATGGGAAACACTACCTGCCGGCAGAACCCGTACCTGCCTCCGCAGTGTCCGTAAAGGTAGTGGTCCTTTCAAGTTAATGGTGCCAACTCATTTTAATAAAAGAATGAAAACTATCAAATATATTTTTTTTTTAATGTTATAGGCCACCACATTATTATTCCAACCTTTATTTATGGTAAAAAATATATATTCAAAACTTGCATTACAACATTATCTACGTCTATCCAACTTGGAGAACATTAACACACAAACGTTATCCATAAAATAACAATATTTCGTTGTGACTTTAGTATCTTTTGGCCAATTTTTGCTATGTTTTTTTTTTTTTTTTAATTGATATGGTTAAAACGTCATCTTATAGGCAATTGATGTAGGTAATGAATATCGAGTATTGTTTCGTCGCTTACTGAAATAAACTTTGTGTTTTTACGTAATTTAAATAATATTTTTTTTAAGGATAATATAATTTTAAAAAAAATTGGATGAGGATGTATTCTCAAAGTCATAAACAAAGCGAAGGAAGCTTTGTATAAGCAAAATTGGCGAATAAATAAATAAATAAATAATGGGTGAGAACAAACCGACTAATAAAAAAAAAGAAACAAGAATAAAAATGTACATAAGATAACAAATAAATGCCTGTGACATGTTTATCATACATTATCTACAAATACATGCAAACGAGTTAATAGACTCGCAAGTTGTGCAATTAATAGCACATTAACCGATGAGGATGATTCTAATATATATGAGTTAGGATAAACTTTAGTAACTTATGGGTGAAATTTTTCATCAAGCGAAACAAATGTAATGAACATAATATAAAACATCCAACAAATGCATTTATAAGCAAAACATTAGTTTTGATTATTATCAACTAATGTTTTAAATAAATAAGTAAATAATTATACAGTCTATAAAATATTATATTACGTAACAAACTAATTAATTGTATTCAAACTTTGTCACTGCAAAATGATATTGAAGTAGGTTGGACCTAGAAAACTAAGTCGTACAGGTTTTTTATGACCATAAAACTTTGAATCTTTCGATCGAGTGATCTAGTTATCAACTCTATAACATTTTCCACGACGATGGTAAAAGAAGACTAGTTATGCTCATTGTGCTAGTTCCTTAGATGACTCTGTTTATATGGTAAGGGTTTTTAATAATGCTAGCCCGCCTTTGGGAACCCAATAACATTGTGTGCAACTTCTTGGCTTATGTACTTCCTTCCCCTACTCGACCTTCATGGGGATTACCATCGGATGCTATTGTCATCCTATCTCGTTCCGTTATATTATCAGAGGCAGGATAACCGGTGTTCGGGACAAGCCGAACGCCCGAACGTATGGGACCCCTTGGGGATGCGTTCGGCCGTTCGGGCCGAACGCGGAAAAAAA